CTTCATAGGCTTCTCTAGACCTTTAATCATTCTTGTCGCTCTTCTCTGTACCCTTTCCAATTTCTCCACATCTTTCTTGAAATGTGGCGCCCAGAACTGGACACAGTACTCCAGCTGAGGCCTAACTAGCGCAGAGTAGAGCGGCAGAATGACTTCACGAGTTTTGCTTACAACACACCTGTTAATACAACCTAGAATCATATTTGCTTTTTTGGCAACAGCATCACACTGTTGACTCATATTCAACTTGTGGTCCACTATGACCCCTAGATCCCTTTCCGCCATGCTCCTTCCTAGACAGTCGCTTCCCATCTTGTATGTATGGAACTGATTGTTCCTTCCTAAGTGGAGCACTTTGCATTTCTCTCTATTAAACCTCATCCTGTTTACCTCCGACCATTTCTCTAACTTGCTAAGGTCATTTTGAATTATGTCCCTATCCTCCAAAGAAGTCGCAACCCCACCCAGTTTGGTATCATCTGCAAACTTAATAAGAGTACTCTCTATCCCAATATCTACATCATTGATGAAGATATTGAACAGTACGGGTCCCAAAACAGACCCTTGAGGAACTCCACTTGTTATCCCTTTCCAGCAGGATTTAGAACCGTTAACAACAACTCTCTGACTACGGTTATCCAGCCAATTATGCACCCACCTTATCGTGGCCCTATCTAAGTTATATTTGCCTAGTTTATCAATAAGAATATCATGCGAGACCGTATCAAATGCCTTACTAAAGTCTAGGTATATGACATCCACCGCTTCTCCCTTATCCACAAGGCTCGTTATCTTATCAAAGAAAGCTATCAGATTAGTTTGGCATGACTTGTTCTTCACAAACCCATGCTGGCTATTCCCTATCACTTTATTACCTTCCAAGTGTTTGCATATGATTTCCTTAATTACCTGCTCCATTATCTTCCCTGGGACAGACGTTAAACTGACCGGTCTATAATTTCCTGGGTTGTTCTTATTCCCCTTTTTATAGATGGGCACAATATTTGCCCTTTTCCAGTCTTCTGGAATCTCCCCTGTCTGCCATGATTTTTCAAAGATCATAGCTAAAGGCTCAGATACCTCCTCTATCAGCTCCTTGAGTATCCTGGGATGCATTTCATCAGGACCTGGTGACTTGCTGACATCTAACTTTCCTAAGTGATTTTTAACTTGTTCTTTGTGTATCCTATCTTCTAAACTTACCCTCTCTCTGCTTGTATTCACTACGTTAGGCACACCTCCAGACTTCTCGGTGAAGACCGAAACAAAGAAGTCATTGAGCATCTCCGCCATTTCCAAGTTCCCTGTTACTGCTTCTCCCTCCTCACTAAGCAGTGGGCCTACCCTGTCCTTGGTCTTCCTCTTGCTTTTAATGTATTTATAAAAGGTCTTCTTGTTTCCCTTTATGCCTGTAGCTAGTTTGATCTCATTTTGTGCCTTTGCCTTTCTAATCTTGCCCCTGCATTCCCGTGTTGCTTGCCTATATTCATCCTTTGTTAGTTGTCCTAGTTTCCATTTTTTATATGACTCCTTTTTTATTTTGAGATCATGCAAGATCTCCTTGTTAAGCCAAGCTGGTCTTTTGCCATATTTTCTATCTTTCCTACACAGCGGAATTGTTTGCTTTTGGGCCCTTAACAACGTCCCTTTGAAATACTTCCAACTCTCCTCAGTTGTTTTTCCCTTCAGTCTTGCTTCCCATGGGACCTTACCTACAAGTTCTCTGAGCTTATCAAAATCTGCCTTCCTGAAATCCATAACCTCAATTGTGCTGGTCTCCCTTCTACCTTTCCTTAAGATCATGAACTCTATTATTTCATGATCACTGTCCCCTATACTGTCTTCCACTTTCAAGTTCTCAACTAGTTCCTCCCTATTTGTTAAAACCAAATCCAGAACAGCTTCTCCTCTGGTAGCTTTTTCAACCTTCTGAAACAGAAAGTTGTCTCCAATGCAGTCCAGAAACTTATTGGATAGCCTGTGCCTCGCTGTGTTAGTTTCCCAACATATGTCTGGATAGTTGAAGTCCCCCATCACCACCAAATCTTGGGCTTTGGATAGTTTTGTTAATTGTTTAAAAAAGGCCTCATCCACCTCTTCCACCTGGCTAGGTGGCCTGTAGTAGACTCCTAGCATGATATCACCCTCGTTTTTTACCCCTTTTAGCTTAACCCAGAGACTCTCTACACAGCTATCTCCTACGTTCATCTCCACTTCAGTCCAAGTGTGTACATTTTTAATATACAAGGCAACCCCTCCTCCCTTTTTTCCCTGTCTGTCCTTCCTGACAGAATGTGCTCAGCATGTTTGTCTTAGACCTGCCCACTCTTCCCTGTTGAAGAAACAAAAACATGAACAGGGAAGAACTGTTCATTCTTCTTTTAAAAGACTAGGGGGGCAGTGTCCCCTGCTCTCTCTGCAAACATAGAGATATGCACTCACCAGGGATTAGTCCCGCAGACTGAATAATTTGCTCTAAGAAGATCCCAAAAAGCTGCTGTTCAGTGATGGATGAAATACACTCTCTTTGTAGTACCAGATCTGATATGCCTTTTTTTGGGTGAGTAATCCTTTAAATAAACATCCCTCTAATTTTTTTTTAAAACCCAAACAAACACCAAAAGCTTCCTTCCTCATGAGTGTGACAGGACACTTTCTGATACCATGCATGCATGTCTTATAGACTCATAGACTTTAAGGTCAGAAGGGACCATTATGATCATCTAGTCTGACCCCCTGCACAATGCAAGCCACAGAATCTCACCCACCCTCTTCTAGAATAATTCTCTTAGCTATATCTCAGATACTGAAGTCCTCAAATGGATTAAGGACCCCAAGATGCAGAGAATCCTCCAGCAAGTGATCTGTGCACCACGCTACAGAGGAAGGCAAAAAACCTCCAGGGGCTCTGCCAATCTATCCTGGAGGAAAATTCCTTCCCGACGCCAAATATGGTGATCAGCTGAAGCCTGAGCATGTGGGCAAGACTCACCACCCAGACACCCAGGAAAAAGTTATCTATAGTAACTCCTATCATCTCACCATTGGCCTATTTACCACTGATAGTGAAAGGTCAAGTAGTTGCCAAGATCATGTTATCCCATCAAACCATCCCCTTCATAAACCCAGTTTAATCTTGAAGCCAGATAGATCTTTTGCCCCCACTACTTCCCTTGGAAGGCCGTTCCAGAACCTCACTCCTCTAATGGTTAGAAACCTTTGTCTAATCTCGAGTCTAAATTTCCTAATAGCCACCTTATATCCATTTGTTCTTGTGTCCACATGGTATTAAGCTTAAATAATTCCTCTCCCTCCCTGGTATTTATCCCTCTAATATATTTAAAGAGAGCAATCATGTCCCCCCTCAGCCTTCTTTTGGTTAATGTAAACAAGCCAAGCTCCTTGAGTCTCCTTTCATAAGACAGGTTTTCCATTCCTCAGATCCTAGTGGCCCTTCTTTGTACCTGTTCCAGTTTGAATTCATCCTTCTTAAACATGGGAGACCAGAACTGCACACAGTATTCCAAATGGGGTCTCACCAATGCCTTGTATAATGGCACTAACACCTCCTTATCCCTACTGGAAATACCTCGCCTAATACATCCCAAGATCGTATTAGCCTTTTTCACAGCCATGTCACAATGGCGGCTCATAGTCATCCTACAATCAACCAGGACTCCGAGGTCCTTCTCCTCCTCCGTTACTTCCAACTGATGTGTCCCCAGCTTATAACTAAAATTCTTGTTATTAATCCCTAAATGCATAACCTTACACTTCTCACTATTAAATTTCATCCTATTGCCATCACTCCAATTTACAAGGTCATCCAGATCTTCCTGTATGACAAGGTCAGTAATAAAAAGATTAAATAAGATTGGTCCCAAAACTGATCCCTGAGGAACTCCACTAGTAACCTCCCTCCAACCTGACAGTTCACCTTTCAGTATGACCCGCTGTAGTCTCCCCTTTAACCAATTGCTTATCCACCTCTCAATTTTCATATTGATCCCCATCTTTTCCAATTTAACCAATAATTCCCCATGTGGTACTGTATCAAATGCCTTACTGAAATCGAGGTAGATTAGATCCACTGCATTTCCTTTATCTAACAAATCTGTTACTTTCTTAAAGAAGGAGATCAGGTTGGTTTTGGCAAGATCTACCTTTTGTAAAACCATGTCGTAATTTGTCCCAATTGCCATTAACCTCAATATCCCTAACTGCTTTCTCCTTCAATTTTTTTTCCAAGACCTTGCATACTACAGATGTCAAACCAACAGGCCTGTAGTTACCCGGGTCACTTTTTTTCCCTTTCTTAAAAATAGGAACTATGTTAGCAATTCTCCAGTCAAATGGAACAACCCCTGAGTTTAGAGATTCATTAAAAAATTTTGCTAATGGATTGCAATTTCATGTGCCAGTTCCTTTAATATTCTTGGAAGAAGATTATCTGGGCCCCCCCAATTTACTCCCATTAAGCTGTTCAAGTTTGGCTTTTACCTCGGATATGGTAATATCTACCTCCATATCCTTATTCCCATTTGTTATGTTGCCATTATCCCTAAGCTCTTCATTAGCCTCGTGAAGCAAAGTATTTGTTTAGATATTGGGCCATGCCTAGATTATCCTTAACCTCCACTCCATCCTCAGTGATTAGCGGTCCCACTTCTTCTTTTTTTGTCTTTCTTAGTTCTTTTTGCTCATTGGAGTTCATTACAGTTGCACATGTTATGCTACATGTTAACGTATATTAAAATGCATGGGGAAAGATGGAATAATGGATTGGTTTATTGTTATTTATTAACTTAAATTTCTCAAACAGTAGCTCAATTTCTCAGTAAACCTGATCAAATATTTTTAATTCCTCGGAAGTAAGATTTCCCCCAAGTGATAGCTTTAAATGCTGTAGTCCATATAACGTGGTACTCTAGAACCATTTCCAACATGCATTCTAATTATTTGTTTATGCACATTTGCACTCTGCTTTGTATTTTCTGCAGGACTATATTTGATGAGAAGAAACTGCTGGAGTTTGCTAAACTTGGATGCTACTTAGAGTATGACCTCTTTGGTACGGAAATACTTAATTACCACTTCAATCCGGATAGAGATATGCCAAGTGACAATGAAAGAATTGCAAGGTACCTAGTGCAATGCAATGAAGTATAAATAATAACACTGCTAGCTATTAAAAATTATTATTATTGGTATGCAGGTTTCATGTGCTTGTTGCTCATACCAATATGCTAAATGATGGTAGTTTATTGTTACTGGTATTTCTGTCTAGTACAATAATTATAACCCTAGTTAGGTATGCATAATGCAAACATTTCTTCGTACAGAAAATGCAGATTTTTCTATGAAAAACAAAGCTAATGGGCTATTTTAAAGATGTTTATTCATAATTATTTGTTCATTTAGTTGGATATCACTGCGTTCAGTGGTTTCTCTTTTTTAACATCCTGGTCTCCAAGATGAGGAATTACATGTGATTGCATAAAGGTTTGGCCTTTGTTTATACTCATTCCAGTTTTAGGTGTTATTATTAATCACTGTCCCGTCTAATTGTAATGTCTGAAAAATGGACAAAAGATTGTAGCCCAAATTCAACCCTGGCCTTACTGGAACTGCTGCCACTTAGATGAAAGGTGCACTTAGATGGAAGGTTCATTTGCTCTTTTCCCTTCACTGTGCAGCACTATCTGTTGCTCTGCTAGGGCTCGTCTAGATTACATTCCTCTTTCAAAAGAGGGATGTAAATTAGGCCGATCAAAAGTGCAAATGAAGTGTGGATTTAAATATCATAGAATCATAGAATCATAGGACTGGAAGGGACCTCAAGAGGTCATCGAGTCCAGCCCCCTGCCCTCAAGGCAGGACCAAGCTCCATCTACACCATCCCTGACAGATGTCTATCTAACCTGTTCTTAAATATCTCCAGAGAGGGAGATTCCACCACCTCCCTTGGCAATTTATTCCAATATTTGACCACCCTGACAGTTAGGAATTTTTTCCTAATGTCCAATCTAAACCTCCCCTGCTGCACTTTAAGCCCATTACTCCTTGTCTATCCTGTGCTTCATTTGCATATTCAAATCCAATTGCTGTTTCGAAAAAGGGTATTTTGAAAGTGAAACCGCAGTCTAAATGCAGTTCTTTTGAAAAAAACCTCCTTTTTTGAAAGATCCTGTACTCCTGAAAAAATGAGTAGTACGGGATCTTTCAAAAAAGGGTTGGGTTTGGGTTTTTTTGAAGGAACTGCATCTAGACTGCAGTTTCACTTTCAAAATATCTTTTTTTGAAACAGTGATCGGACATGAATATGCAAATGTAGCGTGGGATACTTAAATCTGCGCTTCATTTTCACTTTTGATCTGCCTAATTTACATCCCTTTTTCAAAAGAGGGATGTAGTCTAGACATAGCCCTAGGCCCTCTATCACTTATCCCCACCACCGCCATCACGCTCCCAATCCGAGAGAGAAAATTATTTCCTCCTGAAAACTCTTTAATGGTCCCCATGTTCACTTCTTTTTTACCTCTTCCCTGCCTTTAATCAGCATCTCCAATACCAGTCTGTTCAATGAGATTTTATTAGCATAGCAGACTGTACAAGTGTTGCCAGAGAAGAGACAGACCCTTTAGGTATGTGTCAGAGGTGGGTACAGCTTCCTGCTAAGTTTGGAGTGGGATCCCCTGTGTCTGCTTGTCAGCAGTGTCATTCCTAATCAAGTAGCAGATTACTACATTGCATGATGCCATCACTTCTTTCTCCCAGGGGCAGAAACACTTTTTTCTCCTCACTTTTTGATGAGAGGCTTTTATGGTTTCTGATAATTTGAGGAAATATAGGAAATATCTTTCTAGTTTTCACTCCTATTTTAGGCATTTCTTTTTTGCCTCCACCTCCTCTGTAACATTGGCCACACGATCTCTCTTGTCTGGTTTCAGACTGTTATCTCTTTTCTGCCAAGCATTTGTCTGATTCTGCTCTTGACTTTCTCTGTGCCTGAAAGATCTCCAGCTTTTCAAAAGATGAAATCTTCTCTCTCTATTGCTAGACAATCTAGCACTCACGATCTCAAATCCTGCTCTGTTGTAACAACAGTTTTTCACACTTGGCCTTTCTAACATAGACTTGCAAAGCATTCAAACAGTCCTGCAGTTGTTTTCCATATGCAACTCTTATTGAAAACTGTGAGCTATGCATCCAAAAGCAATGGTCTACTGGGCTTATGGTAATGTGTCTCTCCTTAATCATGGTAATATTTTTTGTCCTTTCTCCCAGCCACAGCTGTTCCTCCTTAGCTCCCTGGCATTGAATGAGTGTTGCAGCAGGCTTTTTATAAAAAGAAATACTACAAGATTGCCCTTTGTTCTGGTTTTGTGTGTGTGTGTGTGTGTGTTTGGGTTGGAAATGCCTTTAATCTGTTTCTTGTACTTTCAGAGTGTTCATACGTAAACACCATGACAATGGCAATCTCCTGTTTTTCTGCAGATTCATAATAGGCTGACATTTGACTTATATTGAACACAGAGTAATACGTATCAAATAGACCCCTACATTTCTTTGTGCAAGTATTCAAAGAATATTTTCAGGCATATCCATGGTCAGATCCTATACGTACATATGAATGCACTTACATAAATGTGTATATCTAGAAACACAAATAGAGATATCAATATGTATGTGTATGTACATATGAGATAAGTATATGCAAAGGGTATGCAGAAAATTATTTTTAATGAGCAGGCGTGTAGATATATTAAGATATATTTTTAGGAAAGTTATGGGGTAGAGGTAGTTGTATTTCTGAGGCTGTCTCGATCTTAGTTTGACCCAAAGTCATCATCTCTGACATCTCTTTCAAATGTTTTATTTCTTCTTTAGTTTTTGAGGGGTTTATGACACATCTTACCTACTTTTTCTTGTATCTGGTTTTCCTTGTTCAAATTTGGTGGTCTAGTTAGTATTGAATTTTGATTTACAGGACTAACCACTGCCATCTTATCCTTTGAAAGCACACCATCTTGCACTGGCGGTAGTTTTGGGAGAGAAGAATACTTGTACTGTGGCAGTCCTAAAGTACTTACAATGTTAGGCTGTGTCTACACTGGGCCACTTATTCCGGAAAAGCAGTCGCTTTTCCGGAATAAGCTGCGAGCTGTCTACACTGGCCCCTTGAATTTCCGGAAAAGCAGTGACGATTTACTGTAAGAAATCAGCTGCGTTTCCGGAAAAACTATGCTGTTCCCGCTCGGGCAAAAGTCCTTTTTCCGGAAAACTGTTCCGGAAAAGGGCCAGTGTAGACAGCACAGTAGTCTTTTCCGGAAAAAAGCCCCGATTGCGAAAATGACGATCAGGGCTTTTTTCCGGAAAAGCGCGTCTACATTGGCCACAAACGCTTTTCCGGAAAAGGGGCTTTTCCGGAAAAGCAGCCTGCCAGTGTAGACTCTCTTTTTCCGGAAATACTTATAACGGAAAACTGTTCCATTTTAAGCATTTCCGGAAATTCATGCCAGTGTAGACACAGCCTTAGTGTGTGTGTTTTATGAAAAACCACCAGTTTGGCACTAAGCCCCAAAACTTATCTTATTTACCAGACTCGGGTTGACTATGATTTTTGCCCAGTTATATTCACTGACCTCCCTATAACTAATCTTCTGTGTAAATCTTGCCCTCACCTGCCGCAAGCTGACAGTAAGAACTTCCATGTGACTGTTGACAAAATAATACAAATGTAATTTGTTCTGGATCAAAACGCATTCAAATAATAAAATATCTAAACTGCAAAGTGCTAGTAAAAATGTTGGCATTGAAGAGTTTACATGAGATAAGCAATGAACAATCATTAGTTTTGCTAATATTTATCATTTCCACTTTAATGTTGCAAGCTAATTGGAGCTCAGGATTCTTGCTAACATTGTCACATCTTAATGGAGTAAGACCTACCTCTGGCCAAAACATTACTGGCAGTCACTTCTATTGCTGGTAGATGCTGTCAGAGAATGACCTTCAGATATAGCTGCCTCTTATTAGGAGGGTATATCAGCCAGCAGAATTTCACCAAACCCCACTTTGGGGGCAAATCATACCCACATTTTGCAAGTATGGAAGGAACATGCTGAAGGGAATGGAACTAAAGAGGTTCTGCTGACTGAAAGAGGGGAGCAGAATGTAGGAAGGTTCATGAAGCTCCTTCTGCATTGCCATAGAGGTGATCTTGCAGATCCCCCAGCCAGACTTCACCCTCAGAGGGAAAGACACTAGCCAGGGCTTATTATCTGTCCCAACTTGGCCCTTTCTCTGCTTGTACAAAATCTGTTCACTAGGACTCCAGAATTAGCTCTGTATGCCTATTATATTGCTGCTGTTACTTTTTTATTTGTAAAGCACTAGCAAAGACAGCTGCTGCCAGACTAGCCATTTAATTGACTTTCTCTGTATATGAGTAGCTGGGGGTAGGAGAAAAAAACAACAAATGGTCTGGTAGCATGTTATAGACTAACAAAACTTGTAGATGGGATCATGAAGTTACCTGTGAGATTTTATCTTTTTGGAAATTAATGACTCTACGACTTGAAGTGCTTATAGCCCAATTGTTCCAGATGGAAGTTCACTGAAGAAATGTTAATATTTGCATAGTCCACCCATACTTTAATCTGTGAATAAATTTCAACAATCTGGATCAAATCCTCAGCTAGTTTGACTGACTTCAGCGGAGCTACAGCCATTCACATCTGTGGTTATGCTTTTCCCTGTGTGACCGCGGAATAATAAACCATAATTGTTAAGAAAGGCTGTTCAGAGTGAGCAAAAAACCTCCAGGAGATTTTCTTTTTCAGCTGAAAGAGGCAAAGTTACAAATTGTCTAATCCTGATACATTACCATGTTCTTTGTTTGAGAAAATCCCTTAAAAAAAAGTGTGGAAATGCTATGGAACTACTTAGCAATACAAGTGAGGAAATAGTTTGTGTTAGCTTAGAGGTAGGAATTAACCCTGTTACATGATCATTTGAAGAAAAGTGAATGTAGGAAATGGTTCTTTAGGCTTCTGGGCCAGGCCTGCTCATGTTGAAATCTGTGAATTTGGCCCGACACTGATTGTGCAGAACTGCAAAGCGTATAATAAATCCTAGTAAAATGGATTTTCCCCACCCATTGCTCTTGATATATGACGTTGTTTTGCTTCTAAAGGGATTTCTTTTCTCTAAAATGGATCTAGGATAATTTAATCTTTTGTGTATATTTAGGAAACATGCTTGCTTCTTTAAAATATCCTGAAATAGTTCATTTCATTTATAATACAGACTAGAGAGGAGATGTCCCTATAAAATATTTAAATATTAATTATTTCTGTATTACTTCCAGAATTATATGAAGCCTTTGGAGGCAGATGTACATTGAATTTACTTTTTTGTAGGGTTCGGATGTTGATTGATGAAGGCTATGAAGACAGAATTGTAATTGCTCATGATATACACACTAAGAATCGACTGATGAAATACGGAGGTCATGGATATTCACATATCCTCAAAAACATAGTTCCTAAAATGTTATTACGAGGTATATCTCAAAATAGAATTGATAAGATACTAATTGACAACCCAAAACAGTGGCTGACTTTTAAATAGGGTTCATGATTATGTATCCACATCTTGTATGTAAACTTGCTGAGAAAAGTCAGATTTGTTTTGATATTGTGGTCATTTTAAAGCTAAAGTCTTTTTGAGGAAAATTTGTAGGATATTGATAAGACCCCCCCCCAAAAAAAGCAGACAATCACTCCCCTTTTTAATTAGAACAAAAATGTTATGTGCTATCTATTAATCTGATCACCCCTAATAATCTGGTCTTGAATGAGTTATTTGTAATGAGCACAACTACAGAATCTTTCCAAATAAATATTGATATAACTGATTCGAAAGTGCACATTTAATACTATAGCTCCTTATTATTCAGGAGCTAGTTCCTCAACTAAACTACTTGAGGAAATGTTAAATTTCTAGTTAAATGACCCCCCTCCCCCCCCCACCCCTGGAACAATTTGATGTTCCGTATAATATTGATGATTCTGTTAATTATCCTGCTGTTCTTTAATGTTTAAAAAAGAACATGGCACTTTTAAATAGCTTTTGCAGAAAACAGAATAACAGTGGGAAGACAACATGATTTTTAAAAAGGTGAAGTATCTCTCAGGATTAAGAACATGAAGAAATTATTTTAAATGAAAATGTAAAGAATACATGGAAAAGATATTTTTAATAAAGCAGTTTCTAGACTAGTAACAATCACTACTCTTTTGCTTTAAAGACTTCTTTTAAATTATGATTCAATTTTGAGTTGAACTTTGGAAACTTTCAGGTGAAAATGTGAAAAATCATTCAAATCAGCCTGATGTTGAAAAGATGAAAATCCACAAGTTGAAATATATACATAATATAATTTAATGAATTATTACAGTTATAACAAAGGCCATGTTTTAATCAGTTTACAAATCAGTTTGTCAAGATATGATTCAAAAGAGAAATGTTTGCCTCATATATGTTTTTCATTTAAATACTTATTTCTTCTAAACCAAATACAAAGAAAAGATTGTGTATTAGCAATGGCAATCATATTTCAACAATTTATTCTTTCACGTGTCCAGCTTTTGATGTCCTGTGGTAATGAAGTATTCCTGGTCACTCCTGGATGAATGTGCATTGCTAGTTATAAATGATTTTTCATTTGAAACATTGTTTGACACCTATATAAGAGAGCACCACAGCTTTGCTGCCAACTACTCTTTACTGATGACCCTTTCCAATAAAAGAATTTGTGATATGAGAAGGTGTAAAGTCAATTTTATGTCCATTATAAAATATATTGCATATAACCAGTACATCCCATGAATATGGGTCAATGTCTTTATCATAAGGAGTTTAGAAATATTTAATCAAACTGATGTGATGTAATGTGGGAAGAGAGGGAGGCAGTTATGAAGCACAACTCTTATAAATAACTGCTTTCTAGAAGGATTTTTCTATCTTTAAAATCTCTGTCTTAAAGTTATTAAAAAATCAAAGGTGAATATACTTTATTAATTATGGCAGATATTTGACTCTTCAGTATTTGATAAATCTCCGTTTATCCTTTTCCCTTGGTATAGTAGAGAAGGTTGCATGTGGCAGATTATGTAAAACAAAAAAGCTAGATCCTGCCTCCCACTTTCCAGAGCAATTTATGCAAATAGTATTTTTATTCTGCCATGAAGGTAACCTAGGATCTATACTCCATCAGCATTACAGCCGGAAGCTACATTATTATTTTGACCCTGTGGTATTCCTGCTATTGTTTTGTTTTAGATTTAAACTTGCAAGTATCATTTTGGGAACAATTAAAAACGTCATTTCTAAATAAAAATCCTTTGTATAGAGATATTATTGATATTGCTGCTCTTACTGATTGTAAAAGATTTTCATAGAATTATAACTCAAACGTATGTTTTTACAATGCAATTCTCTAGGCCATTAAGCTATTATACTGATAAGCCTTCACTGTTTGAGATATAGATATATATGTATATAGCTATATAAGAAAAATAGGCTTTAATACACAGGTTTTTTGCATTTCAAAATGCAAAGCAAGTTTAAGTTTCCCTCTTTGCATAACTGGTTTTTATATTTGGTAATATGCTTATCTGTTAATTACAGTCACACCATACTACAAACTATTCAATACCTTGTAACAGGTACTGTGTGATGGCATAATTATATGGGCCCAAATCCCATTCTCATGCAAGTATCTACACTGACTTTAGCAAGACTGGTTGCATAAATAAGCTGAGCAGGATTTTGGCCAGTGGTTTTTTCACAATGTTCTGTGCAATGATTCTAGTTGATTCTTTATAGTATGTCAAGTCTTAAATAATCTTCTGTTAAACAAAAGTAGTAACTACAAATTTACATTGAAAACTAATTGCAGCAAAGAAATCATTCTGGCCTGGCCTGGGAGTATGGGTGGTAGACTTGCTGAAACAGTATTTATGCAACAAACCATCAAGAACGGGTTTGTAAAATTGTCTAAGTATATGTATTAACACATATGTTTACATATTAAGAGCCAAAATACATTCCCACTGAAATTAATGGGAGTTTTGCAGTTGGCTTCAATGGACCCAGAATTTGGTCCAAATATAGGCAGTTTATGTCATGTCATTTCTTATACTTTCATTGAACTGTTTCTTCTGCCTTTCTTTCGTAAAACACAAGGCTAGAGCAGGGAAATTTAAATGAATGGGTGGAAATTATTTAGAAGATAAAGAGTTAAGGCTTGAAATATGTTAGTTTCTTGCTCTAGATAGCAGGATAACAAAAGTACAAGGCAAACAATTCCTTTGGAGAGAAGAAGCATTTCAATTACTTCTTCCATTTATTGTAAACTCATTTCTCACTATGAGTGGACTCCAAGCATCATAGTTAGCAGGTAAGTCACAAGAACCAAAGCTGACATATGGATAAAGCAGCAAGATCATAATACATCAACGTATCATATATACTGAAGAAATAATTCAGTCTCTTTAGATTTTCCTATAAAAATCGTGATCTATATAGGACTTCATTCACATCGACATTAACAATAAGAAGTATTTGCTTTGGTGGTAGTGGCTCACACATCTGTTTAACTTGGTGTATATATATATTAATATAAGGTTTCTCTGGGTCATACAGATGTGAGTCAGGTAGCATTTGATTTTTCCCCGCTACTGAGGTGTCCCACGGTCAGTATCCGCTGGATTCTTGATTCATTGACTTTTGCCACATGAATCCATCGTTTAGCAGAACAAGCTTAGTTTTTGACTCATGATCAGTCAGCATAAATAATAAATCCAGAAAATGTGCTGTATTTGTTGTTGTTTCCTCCATGTGCTTTTCCTCCATCTAATTTTATGTAAACTTCATCTCCTGGCTCCAAGTGAAGAACCACACTGTTACTCGCATAGTCGTAATTCTGATCAGCGTCCTGAGCAATTGCACTAGCTCGAACCTATGTAAAACAAAAACAAACCAAAAAAATGGTTGGTTAAGACATCTGGACATTCTTCCTGCATAGTGGAATTAAAATATGTTTTAAGAATGAGCAGTACATATTCAGTGCCACTTTAAATGTGCAGCATGCCTAAACACTTCACAGCTGTAGTTCTCTCCCTCAATATCATCAGTATTTCTGACATTGCTAGAAATGGTTTACAATATAGCAGCAAGTTCTCTAATAAGTAGGCTAAATATTTTAACTCAGTTCATTGTCACATGGCTTGCTTGCTTCCTGAGTAATACAAAACTGCTCATTCTCACATCTCCAGCTACTTAGCCCATATGGACAATTTTTCTCCCATCTCCCCTCCCCAAAATAGACTGCAGGGACCTGATGATTAATTCACTTCAGTTTTAAATTGATGTAACTCTAACTGTGGTGGACCTGCTCCTGATTTACACTGGCATGAGATTGTAATCCGCTCCAGGTATTAAGATGTTTTTCAGAAATGTTCTGATTATAATAGTTACCAGATCGTGTTGCCAAAACATAGAAATAATTTCTGGCTGCTCTCAGAATAAGCGATCAAAATTTAAATGAAATGAACAACAACAAAATTAATAAGCAAACAATTTAATCCAAAGTAGGAAATTCTGTTATCGCCACATATTTCTCTTAATTATGTAATTTCTGTTCAGTCCTAAAAGACATACATTTAAAATTACATCAGCATGTACTTTAAGATGATTTATGGAGTTTTCCGATTTTTTTTAAACCTGAATATGCAACTTTAATGCAAACACATTTTCCCTTTAATTATTCTTACTGTTTGTCTACTAATTGAGTTTGTCATTTTTAGCAAAAGAAAATGAATTTATTAGCAAAAAGGACTTTATAATCAGTCTCAAACTGAATGTCAGTTTTTGATCAAGCACTATCCTGTCCTATCCTCAGGTAAAGGTAATACTCCAGATCATTTAACTATAATAATTTACTTCTGCTTTGTAAAATATTTAAACTTATTTGTATGTGATTGATTTTAGTGTAACACATCATCATGTCTGCTTGGCCCTATTTTAGAATAGTTATAGAGAGCTGTAAGTGATTTACTGGTTTTGTAAATCTGAACTAAGTAATAATGCATGACTTTGCTTACAATATGTGGGATTTTTATCTTCATAATTTTAAAAAAGAGCTATAAATCTAGAATTTCCAATCATTTCTTTTAAAATTTAAACGATGGGTTTTCAAATTAAATTTTCATGTGGAATGATCCCACCTCAATACTGAAATATTAAGAAGGGAGAAGCACTCTAGATCTCCAGTTATTATATTATGAAGCAGAGTGGAAGAAAATTCTCTGTGCCCCACCTAACTGGATGAGACCGTCTTACAGGGGATGTATTTGCATAACAATGTGCAAATGTAAACGAATACATTAATGCTGGCGTTATTGGTTCCCATGTATAATTGTTTATTGGAATGATCTGTTTTGACCATTAATTCAGCAATAACTATCAAGACACGGGGCACTTCTTTGGGATGAATGACCATCAGGGTGGAATTGATCTCTTTGGGCCATTAACTCCAGAAATACTCCTCCACAGAAAATAGTCTCCACTGAAGTCATTATTGCTATTATAAATGGGGGAGGAGGAAATAAATAGGTGGTTAGGTTTAAAAAATATATTTTTTTCTAGGGAATTAACGCCTTGTACACTGGGAAATTAAATTATTTAAATTACCCAACCCTCCCCACACACACATTCCATTCATGTCACTTTTCAATGCTACTTATTGGAGCTAATATTTCTGCCAGTGTGGTGACTATGTATATCTTCTGCTGTAAACTCTTTAAATGTGCACATTATGAGGTGTGGGGGACATCAACTTGCCTATAGCCACACTCATTTCATTGCTAAGACTAGGTAGTTCTGATGTCTGTACTGAAAGAATGATTTAGACACTGCAAACCTAAAACTAATCTCCGCAGATTGTATTAATTTGTGCATGGCCACACAGCCCTGGAAATACATTACCTTGGGCCCATAGTCCAGGCTGTTACTTTTAAGATTTCTGCCTCTGGGAAAGCCAATGTAATTTCTTTTTAAAGCCTATGAAAAGAGTCTCAGAAGGCTTGTAAGTGTACTGCCGTAAGAGTGCAAATGTATTTCAAAATTAAACCATTAATGTAGTATCCATTGTACACGTTGCATGAGTGTCCAGCTCATCATTTTATACAAGTACATTGGGATGCAATAATTGCAAACACATACTATGTAAGCAATGTGTTTTCAGCACTTCTGTGCTTAAGCTCTTTCTCTGTGGGACGGCAAGGTGTTACACTGGAGACCCGGAGCTTCGCGATCTACCTTACCTTGGGATTCTCTCCCTATAAATTATGCCCTCTGGAACATGAGTAATCCCCCACGAATATTACTGAATATACAGACCTATCTGGGGCAGACCCCTTTTAAGCAATTCATTTGATAACATCCGGCCTTTTCCTCCTGCTACCACATTGCATCACTTACCAGTGTTTCACGAACAAAACACACTTTAAAAAGCCCCCGGTGCATTAAAACTACGAATTCATTTCAAATCAACCGAGTCCCACTATTCAGAACAAAATAATATTCCTTGGACACAAGCAAGACCCGTCTTTCATGCGGCGTGAGCGCTGTATGGGGAGTCACGCCGGGGAGCTGAAGTCGGGTTTTTTGGTTAGTTTTTCAGGTTCGCTGTACCAGTGATCAGTCGGGTTTCTAAATGCCTGCCGCTCTTTGCAGCGCTAGTTTATATTGTGCTTCTAGCCTGTAGTGGGGAGGACTACTTAATACATTTTAATACCAAATACAGACTCGTGTTTTAATGGTAAATAGGGCGGTCTCGCTAGCTACTCTACACAGCACTGCTTTTGAAGGAAGCAGCCACAGCGGTCGTACTACACGGAACGGTTTAACTAGTGCGGGCTCATCCGCAGACGCAGTATTTCTAGTGAACATTTGCTAATGTAATTAATTGCCGCTGACGTCTCCATAACTCCATTTCACGGTACTTCGGAGAAACCATAAACAAAAGGTTAAGTGGCAGATCAGTTTAATTTACTGGCCTTTGATGCTTCCATCTGTGAGCTTGCGTTCAACACAGTGCCTGAGCGCAATGGGTCTCTCCTGCTTACGGCCCCGTGCCATACCAGGCGTGTTACGCATTTTTAAGCTTCAGTTTTTGTGCCTTTCCCGGGGTGGGCGGGGAGGTTTAATCCAGAAATCGACACGGACCAGTGAGCATGGCACAGTGACACGGAATCCCAAATTCCAGCTATGTGAGAGCTGAGAACAATCCCTGACGGTCCAAGAAAACCTGGCCAGCCCACGCTTTAGCCTGGAATCGAGCTACCCTGCAGTGTGCGCTTTCTATGCTAGCTGGAGGCATCAATCCTGCAACATTTCTCATTTCCTAGAGGGGAATCCTTTCCCTAGGGGTCTAGAATTTTGTCAGGCGCTGGCTCGGCTTGATTACTAGTCCCAGAAGCGTCCTTTAGTGGGTTAACACTTTATAGTGCTATTGCATTACTTGTAGCAACTTTCCCTGTGCGGTCAGTTCATATCCACAGTATTCAGAAAAAGGAATGTCATCTTCATTTATGGCCAATTTAAAGCTTCTGCAGCCACGTGTCATTCTGGCTCCATTTCAAACGTCTCCGCTCAATTCAGAAGGCATGACAAGCTTTTTCTACCCGTTGGCCCGGGTCAGGACAGGAAAATAGCAGAAGTGAAGGGTGTGAGGGGAGTAGGGTGTAAAGAGGTGCAAAGTTACAGGGAACGTTTCCACAAACTCAGCAAGCGCAGTAGCAGCATTTAGATTAACTAAAATGGACCGTTCCTCTGGCTGGTAGAAGTAGCATCTCAAGATCTTTGAATATTTCAGTCTTCCTGGGGGAAAGATGGCGAATCTCAGCCTCCGCGCCCTAAAAACTAGGGCTCTTCAATGTTTGGTTGGTCTGTCTTACATTTTGGAAGAAATCCACAACCTAGCTCCATCTATATCTAAGAAAGTAGCCTTGTGACAGCACTGTTCTGATACAAGTTCTTGAGCAGGGGGATTATGCCAGAATCATAAACTGCCCGCTCTGCCCAGGGTGCCTTAAAAGCCCTTAGCTGGCTGTCAGCCTGTCACTCCGATAGCCTGGGCAGTGATTTCAGTGCAGCGCAGGTTTCACACGAGCGATTCGGGTTCCCGCTTGGCTCCCTGGCTTTGATCGGGGTTAGTGGCCAGGCTTCCTCTGCCCGCAGCTCGGCCCCCTCTGGCCCGTTACACTCCCGTGTATCCCGGTTCTCACGAGGAAACTCTCGGGGCGCCCGGATTCTCCGGGCCCGCCAGCAGCCCGGGCCAGGTTAAAAGAAGATCAGTGGGGGCTGAGCACAGCTGGCGGGCGCGGGCTTCCTGCAGCCGGGAACGCGTCCAGCCAGCGCCTGCTCCCGCGGCAGGACCCGGAGCCTGAGCCCCGGTCGGGCGAACTCTGCTTGCCCGCCCGGCCCAAAGCCGGATCGGCGCGGCTGGAGAGGAGGGACTGAAGACCCTGGCTCCCCGCAAGCCCAGGAGAGTGTCCCCATCGGCCTTCATAGGGCCGCACCAGGCCCTGCCCCGCCTGGCTCCTAACGCCCCCCGGCAGCCTCCTTAGCCCCAGCCCCTTGATCGACACTAGCCCCGGACCCTGTCCTTGTACCCCGGGTCCCCCTTCCCCCGCGCCGCCTCCTCTGCCCAGGCTCCCGCTGCCCCCTCCGGGATCCCCTCATCTGGCTCCCCTACCCCGCCACG